AACTTTCGTACTCAAACTCGACCGGAGAATTCTCAGGGATGCATAAAGTGGGAGGTCTCAGTGGCCAAGCAGAAGCGGGAGCCATCCCTTCTATGGAGGGAAATGCAAAGGTCGCGTGAGCGTGTGGCTGCTGGAAGTTCGGATTCTAATTAGATTTCTGTCGATTAGGATTATCTGACGAATGGAATCGTATCTCGAAGGGTGCTTATCTCGCGGTTAACGGGAAAGGCGTTGCTCTTCCATTTGGCAGAGTCTGACGTCACAAGATTTGACAGATCTGATCGGAAGATAACCGCATGTCCGCGAAACCGGTTCGGCGGGTTCCTTGCTCCTTCCTCCCTTCGTCATCAAAGATGCGCCGGTTTGAACCCGTTCGCGGGGACGATGTGGATTCCCCCTGCCTCGCACCTTCAACGTCCATTTCGACTGCCACAACTCACCCAATTTCAGCAAAAGCAAAATAGCCATCAAAACAACCGAGAAACCAAAAATAAAACTGCATCCACTTTCACATTTACAATTAAAAAACAAAAGGCAAGCACAGTCGGATGTCCTCACCGTGATAAACCTTGATCCCAGTAAGGGGACAATTCTTGGGGATGTATGACCCATTCCCCCCACTCGGAAGCGAGTAATTCATCCAGGTCCACTCGTACACGACCTCCGGCTGAATCGGCTCCCCCGCCACAACGAGCGAAAGCATCCACACGGAAAGCACGCACTGGGGAAGACCCCGCGCCGTGAGCGTCCACCGCGCCATCCCGGCCACGCACTGTCAGTCGACGGGCAGCGGCGGGATGCTTTTCCCTCCGTCTGTGACGTCAGAGACGCAGGGATGCCCGATCCGCGTTTCGATTCGTCGCGTAACAGGCAATCCACGCAGCGTCATTTCAGGGGATGCTGATACTCGGGAGGGCCATCGCAACGTCAGCAGTTTCAGTTTAGAGACCTTTTTGCATAACCACGCGGGAATGCGAGGTTACCGCAGTTTCGGATTCGCCGAACGCGACCACGTAACGGATTGGGGTGTTAGGAAGGTCTGCGATCCGAAGGGAACGAGGAGGATGGAGTACCCAAAAAGGGGTACCGGGGGTAACCCTTTTCGACAAGGGCTTGACTGGATTGGTGCCTGTCGATTCTGCCGTGGGGGAAGCGCGGTGTATCGGTTAGGGTTTTGGGGACCGCAGGTTTCTCGCGGTTTCATCGTCTGATGAGTCCATGTTTCGTTATTAGGGCGGCCGCGGATCCAATTTTTTTTTCGCTTCCTCAACGTTTTGAATGGGATTGCGGACGCTGAAATGGACCCGATTCCGAGCATGATCGAATAATTTATTTGCGAGAATTATCTTGATAGACGGGGATCAGATTGTATGGGTGAAATCGGGGCCGAATTTCGAAGGATCTGCCACGACCCCGAGCTCACTCGAGTTGAAACACGATTGCAAGGAGGTAAAGGAGATTCCAGACAAAAGGAAAATAATTATCGATCCCCCCTGAATTACTGCGAGCCTTTGTGGGCTGCATGCTGTCTGTAAGCCGGTAGAAAGCAGAATGGATGGACTCCATCCATTCCATTTCTGATGTCCATTCGAGTTTACCTCATTCGTATTGCGAATGAGAACAACAGCAGTAACCCTTTTTGACAGTCTTTCGATAGATATTTGCTGAGGAGTGAATCGCTTAAGAACGACGGAAACGAAACACCATTTCGTCGAATTCCAAAACAAAAATATTTGATGAAATGGTAAAGGCAGTTCAGCTGAAGAACTTGAAAATTCAAAACTCATCGGTCAAATTTGGAAGAGGAAAGGCATTCAAGTAGAGAGTCGATTGAAAGTTTACTACTATTTAAAATAGCAATGAAGACAGTAATGATATAATAATATTTAAATAACAAGATAAAGTCACCATTCCCATATGGAGAGTGCATTAGTTTGTACATATGTAAAAGCTATCTTCCAACCTATTAATAGAAATATAAGATGCAAAGTCCTAGGAACTATAGATGCCAGCAAGAGCTTCTGCATTGCCCTTCATTAAATTCAACCATGACTGTGTTGTCGTACTAGATGAAGATTGCTGCTTGAATTGATATCAGTTGGTGAGGCAAGCAGCATGGATGTCTCAAGGTAAAGGGATTTGGAAATAATATTAGTACTATAGATACAGATGTATATGGAGAAATAGGGCAAAGTATAAGAAACCAGCTTGAAAGTATTACAGAATTTTAAGAATTGCCTTTATTGAAATGACTTGTAATACCTCTCCAGAAGCATTCATATTTCACCACACCGCTCGTCAGGCGTACCCATCTCTCGGTCGACCGCGTTCTCGTCGGGTTCGAGTCGACGGCTCGCCTCGTCCTCGGCATCCATCGGGACGTCGGGTGCTGCGGATTCTTTCACGCACGTGGCAGAACGCACCGATCTGTAAGCATTTTTGGCACCTTTCACCTCCTTGATGGACGGCAGTTCACGCTCGGCTCCTTCGTACACTTCGATGGGGATGTTGAGAGGGTTCATGCCAGGGTAGGAAAGAACATCCTCCAAGAGCTTCCTCCTCAGCTCGCGTGGAGTGAGTCCCATCAACAAGAGATTGTCTCGACTGAGGGCCGACGTAGGGAGCGAAGATCTTCCAGTAGAAGCAGCACGAGAAGAAGCTCGGGCCCGCAACGTCGTCGGCACGGCGTTCCTCGTGCCGGTCGGTGCCTCGTCACCAAAAGCGTCCATTCCCACCGTTGACCCATTTGCAGAGGATGTTGATGCCTCTGATGACAGATCAAAATCTGGTAACACCTGGAAGGGACAAAGAGACATTTACATCATTTGACATTTCTCTGTGCAAGCAAGTTTCATGTTCACTCTTTACCATTTACATGGCATTGCATTGAATATTTCCAAATAAACTCTTTATTTCCCATAATTCATGCTTGAGTGACAAATATGTCATTTCACAGCTGAGCTTCCCAGAATTGCAAAGGATTACTGTACACACCATGCCATAAGTCAAAATTTTTTAAAATTGGTTCTGGCATGATTGTAGAGAGATTTATGATGGAAACTTCTATAGAAAACTGATACTTCAGAAGCCCATCAGTTTCGCAACCAAAAGTTGCATGAACAAGCAAGACGAATCAGCACTATGAAAAGCGAGCCAGAATATCTCTTCTTTCATCTGTCCATAAGTTCGAGTTGATTATCCACTGAAGCTGCCTTGGCTCCTTTGAATTTTTTTTGTTTGATATCTCATATGAATAGGGATAATGTTTCAAGGGACACAACTTTATGCTCTGCCAATTGGTTGCAATTCCTTGCTTTTTTCTCATTTAGTGCTTCATTTCCTCCTTACTTCTATGTTAGTGCTCTGGTGATAGTAAAGTGTCACATGAATCTGTCTCCTATATATAATCTTCCTATTGAACAAAATCAGTAATAATAAAAAAATACAAAGCTACAACAAAATCTACCTGTAGGAATCATGAATGTATTGGTTTTAAAAATATAGTGGCAGTAAATGGTATTGCGAACCAGAAGCATAAATGTAGCTTATCCTTCTTCAACTCAGATGAAACCAAAACGGAAGCCATTCATCCATAAAACCACTGCCTTACAATTTTCAGGATAGACTATTCAAGGAGTCCAATCCCTATGCATCAATGAAGCTAGAAATATGTGGGATCAAGACTGCCCTTCTCATAATGGCATGTGGAGGGCAGACAAGGTTCGAACACATTGGATAGTACTTCTGCAGTCTAGAATGAAATATCACTTATTCAAAGAATAATATATTAATATGCAATAGAAGTCCAATTGATTACCAGGGAAAGCCAGTATGAGGGGCAAAAATAAGTTTGCATCACAGAGAGGGCACTTGCACTGTGGTAACCCTGAGAAGAAAAATTACAATGAGGATGTGACTGCAAAATACTAATTATGCCTATGCATCTTGAGAAAAAGGAAAGGTGATTCTAAGTGAGTACTGTTGAACTATTTATTCTGTCCTCAGTCAGGACAGTGCATTGCCAATGTCAGAAAATGAAGAAGGGGAGATAAAGTCAATAGGGAAAGGAATATTGTGAGTGTTTGGTTGTATCAAAGTGAGTATTGGGGTCATATGCAAAAATTAACCCAAGTGGTTGGGCTTATGTTGATACTACTTATACCCAGCCTTCACTAAGCTCTCATTTAAATACAAAGTAAAAATACTTGAAGGTTTAGGCCAACTAGAATTACTAGTAGAGACTACCTGGTACTGGTATTAGGCCCCAATTTCACTTTGCATATTAGTACACTGCTGCACAGAGTATCGGGATAATTATGCTATTGCTATTCTTGGGGTGTAATAATTGTCATGCCTACCTGTTTCCTGGCAGAATTTTTCCCTATTCCAGAAAGTAAAGGGATAAGAGCCTTTTATTTGGAATCATCACCACTTGGCTCAATCCCTCTATCATAACCTTGAATAAATTTGTCTGGATCCCATGCCTCAGAGGGGATTCTCCATTGAAACTAGCACACATTAGTACAACATCCTCACATGATGCAAGTATCCAATCCTGCCCTTCACTAGAGCTATTTTATTTACCATCACTGACTGCTCAAAATTCAGTAGCACCAGACAATCCATGGCTCTTGAGAATGGCATGAACCATTGCAGAAGTGGCAGGAAACTCACAGTGATGGGCTCTTTCCCCTCGTCTGCGTCTCTCCTGTCCTGGCCGTATCTCTTAGCACTCTCCACGTTTGAGCGAAAGGAGAAGAGGAACTTCTCTGCATTTTCTGAGTCCAGCTTCAACATGGTGCTGCCCAAGATGTCGAGACATTGCAGAAGAAACAGGGCAGTTGGAGGAGGCAAGTCTGGTAGAGGTTCACCCTGTGCAAAACAATGACACACTCATTTGGGAAGGAGTGATGTAAAGCCTTATCATCCATTTCATAAGCCCTATGCTCATAACTCCATTTTCTGTTGTCTGCTAGTTGGCATTTTGAATATTTGCTTGGTTTCATTCTGAACTGGATTCTGGTGATGCTTTGTTTCTTGCTCATCATGTGAAATAATCTAAGGTGCAATTTTACCCAAGGAGATTTCTCTCTATATGATGGAGCACAAGATATCTCTTCAGCCTCAACACGTTAGTATAATGAGAGCAATGTCTGAGGTGAAAGGCTTGAGTTAAGACCCAAAAAGGCAGTTCTGCCCATTTTGATATGCCATTACAACTGCTATGAGTTTGCGCCTTTGAGGGCTAGTTAATTCCAACATAATCCTGAACATACCATCAGCATACCAAAGTGTAACAATCTTAAACATTCATACACAATTCTGTTACAGCTGAAACTCAAATTAATGGTAAAAACCTGCTACAGAAGGCATTAAAAAAACTGGGTCACCCTCATCTTTCACACATGGACTCACAGACACTTAATGACACTGATACCATGAGAAGGATGAAATCAGACCTCTGGTATAGATCTCAACTTTCCAATCTTGGATATCAATGCATCATCTCAAACTGAAGCCTACACCATGAGAGTTGAGCTTACGTCATCAAACGGGACCGGAAAGATGCACCGCTCACCCGGAACGCAAATCCCATGTATTTGTAAAGGAGAGGGAAGTCGATTCCACCGGCTTCCTGAACGGAGGGCAGCTGCAACTTGCTGCTCACGAGATCCATCACGTCTCCGATGAGACGGCTGAAGTTGTAGTTGGTCAGGGTCTGGCACTGTCCCTCGATGATTCGCAGCCACTGTTCGACGGCCGGCATCTTCTGGTATCCTTTGGCTTCGACTTCTTTCCTGTAACTAAGTGGCAAAGACTGGCAATGATGCTGAAAAAATACACAGAAGGGTTCCTTTGAAATATATAAAGATATCAGAAATTTTGTGTACTCAGTAACTTACGCCTTAGCCATAAAAGTTAGCAGAACCGAATTTGGTTGCTTTGTCAGTAGCCTATCTATGGTTCTTTGGACATAAACATTTCAATAGTTGTAGAAGTAAGTGCATCTTTGGATGTGCAGAAGTAACATGAGTGAAGTTTGCTTCCATTCGGGAAAAAAGGTGTCAAAATGTCAATAAATCCAAAATCACAAAGCAAGATATTGGATTGTGTCACAGTTCCCAGGGAATCAATTGCAGTAAGGTAATGCAAATCAAGATAGCAAATATTTTTATGATTTGGCAGAATCATGACACACTCCTTATGGCAATGATGCAAAACCAGACCGATGCATCTGGATTTCACGCAGAGACACTCACTTCATCCGAGCATAGCGCATGGAACTTGCAATGAAGTCCTGTATCTTTGCCTTGGTCTTCGTCGGGACCGCTTTGACCAGCGCGTCCATGTTGGTGACCCCGTGCTTCCGCATGGTCACCAACAACTGGTACTTCTCCTTTTCGTTCCACTTGACGCCGTTCACGATGGTGAACTTCGCCTCCTTGCTGGTCTTCTTCCCGGTGCCGCCCCGGTACTTCGAGGACCCCACCGATGCCGCCTGGCCGGCTTTTGCCTTCCCTCTCCTCTTTGGAGCCATTGGGTTTATCACAGCCACAGAAACTAAAGAACCGCATATCAGAAATTTAAAACAGACTTTTAAAAAGGCTTCTTAAGCAAAAATACAGGCTTATGACAAGGAAAACTCATCAATCTCTTGGAAAATTGATATTGACCATTGATTCATTCATAGTGGCTGTGACCAACTTTGCTTCCTCATAGGCCTAGCCAAAAACTTCGCTTTTAGGCCCAAGGCAGTACAACTTGAAAGTAAACCTAGGAGTCATGTTCTGATGGAAACGTTTAATTGGCATTTTCATCAACCTGTTATAGGCCTATGCATCTCCTGATGCCTTATTTCTCAACCATGTGCGACAGGCATCTGCACGTCAGAATCAAGTGCGAATCCGCCGAACTCAATAGCAAAACACTGCAGCAACAGACAAAAACGACAATCGGACGAGCGGCAGACACGAAACGAAGACCCAGCGCTCTATCGCAATGGCGATCAGTGCACCTAGCGGATGCTTTCCCAACTAAATTCCACGTGCCCACGAGAGAAACGCAGAGACGAAACACCGCTGCTTCCACTGGCTTCGCTCCGTCCTTCTAAGCAACATTTACTTCAAGCCTTCTTCAAAGACTCAGATGACGCGACCCGATGAGGACGATAAGGCGAAGTGGAATGCGGAAGCGGGGCCAGATCGCCTCGCGAAAGTGTTCGCCGTTTCAACGATTAACAAAGGTAGGCCTACTCCGAGAGCTCAGTGATTGATCAGTGACCAGTTTTTCAGCCGCTGAAGGTGTGAGGAGGCGAAATGCCGGGAACTGATTTTCATTTGCCCAAAGGCGGAAACGTGGAAGACTCCTTGAGCCCATCCGATTGGGAAAATGTTTGAAACCCTTCTGAGGCATCTGATGAACGTTGCAGATGCGACTCACGAAATAACCTTTTTGGCCCCTGTAACCCCTTTGACCCCTGTAACCCCTGTGACCCCTTTGACCCCTTTCGCCCTCCCCATGGGGGCTGGGGGGACTGCTTCCTCCAGTCAGCCTTGCCTTCAAAGAATCAACAGAGGTTCCATAGCAACACTCACGTATCTGCGTCAACCATATTCCATTTATTCATGAGGAAATGAAACATGAATAGAAAATGTACGTCAAACCAACTGCCAGTTTAGTGCATATTTAAACTGAGCCTACGTAGCAAAAGAAATTTGATCTAATTCTTGCTCTTGACTCTGCACTTTTTTCTGTAATTCCCAACGGACCACTTGGATTTCCTGTGTGAAACAGGATCGTTTGTTTTGGAATGCAGGGCGATGCACACCTCACAGCCGGTTTTTTCTGGTTCGAAGTCCACGTAGTGGTACTTTTTCCACTCCAGGTACTTGAGGTACTCCTGGGGCCGGTCCCGCAGCTGCAGCAAGTACCTGGCCAGGTCCTTCACGCAGGGAAAGTCGTGGACGTCGATGAAGTAACCCCGTGGCGCAATATGAGAGTAATTCGCTCGACCGTACACGACGGGGACCCAAGAATGATTGAGAGCGAGGAAGAACTTCTCCGTCACGTAATCCGTGCACAGGGCGTTTTCGAAGGCCAGGTAGAACAGGTAGGAACGGGAGAGGATGGCATGAGCGTCTTGGGCGGTTCCGTTCATCTTCCCTATTCCATACAGACCGAAGACGTCCACCACTCCCAAGTCCAACAATTCCTGGATCAATTTCATTCGACCTGAAGGGGTTCCGCAGTTTGAGGCAACAGCTGCCGCTACGTGTCGTTTCTGGTCGATGACTTGCTGGAAATCCATGTGAATGGGGGTGTTTCTTTCGAGCACCCTTCCGTAGGGCACATGGACATCCGCATCCAGTTCGTAGGTGACTTTCCAGTGAAAACATCTTCCGTGGTGGCGGATGGGAGGAGCTTCCAGGGACAACATCCCCCATATCGCACTCCCTTCCTGGGGTATTTGCCCCGTCCAACATGATGACTTCCAGCACCTGTCACTATCGTACGGGGAAAACATGACGAGATCCACTTTTTGTGAGGGAGGCTGAAGTTTCCGATGGTCATGCGACACTGGAACCCTTGAATTCCCCACTTCAACCCTTCCTCGAAGCCGTGCCGATTTTTCCATTTTGAAAACTTGGTCATGAACTGGTTCCACAAAACTCTGTGTGTCACAGGCCGTTCCCCCGAACCCTGGCTGCGTATTGTATGATGATAGAGGAAGAGGAAGAAGCGAGACACCAGAGCGGATACGCCGAGAATGGAAACGAGGAACCGACACCCACTCCATTCACGCGCACGTCTCACTTCTTTCCTGTCTCCCACCATTCAAGTCCCCCTTCAGTCTCTTGACCCCGATAATTACAGAACCCAGTCCGACCTAATGACGTGCGCACCGTGCTTGGTGGGGACAGTCGCCTCCGAAATCAGCACAAAACATCTGGTACGCCTTACTCCGTCCGTAAAACCTTTGTATGGGAAGAGAATTTGTCTAGGTGATTCCCAAGCCATCTCCATTGTTCGACCGACTTTGTAAACTCCTACCCTTAAAAAAAAAAAAAAAAAAAAAAAAATCGGAGCCGATTGCCAACGGTGTTGTTCTTGGTAAGATATTTACTTTTTCGCTTTGTTCTGCGGACGGTTGCGGCAACATGTCGCTACTCATCCTTGACTTGTTAGAAATCCAAATATTATGGGGTTGTTTTTTTTTGGGGGCACCCTTTAGTAGGGTACGTGGACATCCGCATCCAATTTGTAAGAGTCCTTCCAGATTCCTTCAATTTCCCCCATATCGTTTCAGCGCATATCGTGATGGTAGAGGCAAACGAGAGTCTTCCGAGGATGGAAATTCCCCTGCGTCTCTTGGCTCTGGCAGTTGTGTCAGTCTCATCTAACGGTGTATATTCCACATTTCTCCGTGCCAGGAGGGAATCGTTTCTCCCACATTTAGCACGATGCATCTGGAACGTTTCGCATTGTAGACAATTCGCGCGTGATAAGAGGACGAGGTGAGAAATTCTGAAGATGTCGCCAGTCTCCGTCTGCCAGTGTGTCCCAGTGGAGCCAATAGATCGAGGCCTTAGCAAGAGACAGGCGCGGAAAAAAAAAAGAGGATGAAAAATGGCTGGAATCACAATGACGAGTTCATGCCGGCAGTCTCCGGGAATAGCCGGAATGCCGCTCTTCACGGCCCTTGCACACGGGTCTCTCCATTCCCTGCCCTTTTCCTCTATTGTCTGTAGTGGCATTCCGCCTCTTTACCGGGCAAATTATGTAAACCAGCCTCATCTAATTGCATGCCATTCCATAGTTCACGGTGCCTGGAGGGAACTGGTTCCCCCGAAGTCAACACAATACACGTCGACCACTCCTCTTAGCCACAAGAATCTCCATAATTTTCAGGGAAAAGTCAGCGTGATTTGTATGTTACCTCTAATTTGCGTACAAACTGCCTTTTCATTGCAAACTTTTTTTTTTACAGCTCTAGCCGAGAACGGAAAGAATGGGGGAAAGAAAAGGAATTTCGTCGGTGGATATCTTCGGCGTATCGGGCTGTCGAAAGTACGATGGCCGTGGCCGCAGATGAGACACGTGATGGATGAACGGGTCTCTCCGGTCCGCTGCGAGGACGTCCCAATGGGGTGTTGGGGCGCGGTTTTTTCGGCGTCGAGGTCGTTGAACTGTGCGCTCGGCTCGAAGTCCACGCGGGGTCTTTCCTGACCCAGTGTCGCGACATGTGACATAATCCCGGTCTGGAGACGATGCAGTTCGGAGCATCGTTCCGCGCTGAAGCCCAAGGCAATCGGGAAAAAAAGCGTACTACGGTAGTTCCTCACGGAACAATGCAGAATTTCACCTCTTCCTTTCCTTATTTTGGACCCGGCATCTCGGACAGAGGCAGAGCAAAGGTTCATGAGGCTACATCGGCACTCTCCCAAAGAGCGTATACCTGAACAGCCTGAAATGAACAGGCGCATTGAACTTATTCACTATGAGGAAAAGTACTGGTAACCTGAGTAACACCGTCATCTGGTCGGGAAAATAATTTCCCGACGCTTGAGAACTAATTATCCCATTCTTTTCCTTTTTATGTCTTTTTTTGAAGGCATCGTTGAAAGAGTCAGACTTTAGCGCAAGCCTGCAGAATTCCCACTCGCAGTTGCGAGGGCGTTTTGCGGTTTGTCTAGGGAATTAAAAAAAAAAGATAGCCTGGAAAGCGTAAATTACATGGTCTGGGAAGTGGAAAGCATACATCCACCCCCCCCTCCCCTTCAAGGAGTTTCCGTGTACTACCCCAGTCGCCGGAGATTTTATCGACCATCGTCAGGGACGCGCCTCTTGATTTTTGACTTCCATGCAAATAAATGGTGTTAAAAATCTAGACGTTTCAGGCGTAATACCCCTGATGCGCCTATGCTCAGGCGTGCAAAAGCTGTGTTTTCGATAGAATGATTCGAAGGCGGGGAGCGAGAAAATTTTACCTGGCTGATGAATGGCAAGAAAATTTTTCTCAGGGTCAAGTGCAGTCCACAAGAACAGCTCGGCCCTAAAATTCCCTTGAAATAAAAAACGGCCAGTCGGTTGACCTCGTACAAGGTGATTCGAGGCGAATTCTGACATGCCTTGCGGATAATTCCCAAGAATTATATTTTTAATGCAAATAAAAAAAAATACAAATTTGTATTTCTCGTTCCCTCCGACAGAAGTCTCAAGTATTGTCGCCTGGACGAGAAGGGGGAAATCAATCTGAAAATAGTCCATTATGAAGAATTATCTCGAACCATGCGATGAAAAAAATACGGAGATTTTTGAACCATCTGTCCGTCGTGTGCGACTTCTGAAATCCTTTCCCAGTAAATACATGCCTTTGGTTCTGGTATTATACGTTTCTATGGTCAAGAAATGAATGGATAAAAAAAACTTCCATGAACTTTTTTTTTATATAAAAACTTTAGAGTGACCTTCTTGGTAAATATTTCAAGTAGTTTTAGCTTGGAAAGAGCGCGACTGACCGAACACCACGTTCCAACAACCAGTCACAAAGTCATAGGCACATTATCTGATGATCGCGTAAGACTTCAATTCACACGCGAATCTCAAAACACGCTTCCAAAGGATTCCACTTTCCGCCTCTCACAGGA